CACACACACACACACACACACACACACACACACACACACACACACACGAGTCTTCCGTCTCCTTTCTGGGGTTGGGGGCTCGTCCGGGATTAAAAAAAAAAGAATAATTGTACGACAGCAATTTGGTAACAACAAATTAACTGGAATTACAATTCAAGTATATAATGTATGTATATGGTATATAAACATAGACTTGAATTGAATAGATATGCCTCATCGTCACTGAGTATTGGCCCGACATCGGTATCGGTGCATCTCTTGGAAATACATGTTTTTGGCAGAGTAGTGCGTTTGGTTTTTTGACATAAAGAACATTGCAGTTGAACCAAAAGACCATCAGTCATTCCACCACTTTCACATCATTTCCTTTTCTTATTCAAATGTTCGCTGCTGTTTCTAGACCGGCTGAACAATAATGAATTAGCAGAGACAGACAAATGAAAGTGTTTCTACCACGAAAAGGGAATTGCGCCCAAGAGCGTAATGATTACAATCGTATTATGCCTTTCGCTCAAAGGCAATCGTTTCTGCTTCCAAACCCGTCAATCACTGAATTAAAGCCAGTTAGAGGTGACACTTCATTGGTAGCTGGCGTGATGTTTCCTTTTCATCATTAAAGAATAACTACTTTACAGACAGAGGAATGAAGAGTGTCGTTCCCCCGTTGTTCATACGTGCAGAAGATGATTGGGAAGGGTGGCACGAACGCCATTTCATTCCCGACTGTATTCCAGAGTTGCATGAGGGTTCATGACCGGCATTACAGACTTGATGCCGAGCTTGTATTTGTAACTATAATGCAACGTCACACACTGTATGTAGTGTACTGTGCAGCGACACCGTGTCTAAACATGGAGTAATCCTCTGTAAAACACAGAGCTACACATTTAAGAATATCACGTGGCAGCTGCAATAGAATATTCCTAATTGAATTGTTCATGTCTGCTACTCCGACCTCATTATTTGTGCAGGTCCTTTGTAAAACAAGTACTAAGACGGTATGACAGGATCGCTGTTAAAGTGTTCTGAGAATTTAAGTAGCTACGTTACAGAAAAAAAACCCCGAACAGACTTACGCAGACCTCTCGAGAAGTGCAACTATTTTGTACTAAATGAACGGATAACACTTGGTCCTGTATCTTTTTACATTATTGATATGTTCACACAACTTTGACTGGATTCATTGACTATTAATTGCTTTATTGACATGATTGCAATGCAAATGCTACCTTTGTGGTTTTTTTATACCACCTGAAGAAAGTAATCCAGAAAAGAACTTCATATTCTCCGACTGTAATCTTGGACATTACAGGTTTTTAGACTCGCTGAAGATGAAAAGAACATCTTTCAGATGAAGTTCTCCTTTCAAAAGATGAAATTGGATACTGACATGCACTGTAACGCACAGCTGGCCGACGTCTTTCAAGGCAGTCATTTGAAGAGCTTGAACTTGCGCAGCAGCGGCTGGACCGTCTCCTTTGGACATGGCTTCAGAGCCAAGCAGGTGGGGACGTTCTCTGGCTGTTCGATCCAGAGCTTGTGGGCCACACCGGCCTGCGTAAGGTTCTCCGATAGACCGGAGAGGGCGGCCTCGTCTGGAGCCTGGAGAAAAACAGACACGTACAGTAAAGCCAGGCTATTAAAGACAATAGAGCATCCAAGACTGGGCCACAGATCGCCATTACCTCACATTTCACCGCAGTGCTCCATGTGAGCAAATAAGGTTTGATATTAAAACCTCTTTATTCCAGTCATTATTGAGTAGTTGCATCAGTAAAAATGTCCTATTTGACTGGGATTTATCTTATAGTACATAATGCATTACATTTTAAATTAATTAGAATTATATCAACTCTAAACAAGAATCCATATTAAATATATTATCCGTTATTTAGTTGCTCTAACATTGCAGTTAGATAAGTGATTTAAATCTTTTATCCAGAAATACCAAACTCCATTCGAAATTCCGTCATTTAATAATTTCTTTCCTCATTAGCACACATTTATACCAGCAAGAAGACCATTTAATATCTTCATATATTCTGAAGGAGTCACTGTTAAATTCGGCACTCATCTTATAGATCAGACAGAACTTTGTATTCGTATAACTGAGGACTCTGCGCTTCACCTCTGGTTCTTATGATCCTTTATAAGGTAAACAATGTGAAGGAGGGTAGCTCACGCAAACCGGTTAAAATTGACATTTTATAGAATTTTAGTTTAGCCGAATAACACAACGAACCTGAACATGTTTGAATGTGTCATCACACATATTGTGATAAACGTTATAAGCGTTGTACTAACTAAAGTGACACATATTTGAATGGAGTCCGGCGGGACGAGCGGCGCTTACCCCTAGCACCACTTTGTGCATGGAGTCCAGCTCGGAGAGGTACCGCTGTGTGTCCGGGTCCCCGTAGTGGAGGTGGATGGCGGCGGTAGCGGCATGGCAGGCTTGAGTTATCACGGCTCCCAGGGGCCAGGACAGCTTGTGGACCAGATCCGAGCGGACCACGACATACTGGACCAACCGGCTAGGAGACCCAGCTCCTGTAGCCGCCATTTTTATTCCTTCCCCAGCACGAACAGGAACCGATCCAGATTCAAGGTTTGTTTATCTTCCGGTTCAGCCGACGAGTCCTTTATTATTAAACCATATTGAAACGTTACTGCCCTCTGCTGGTAACTTGTAAAACTGCATGTGAAAAACAGAGGTTACAGTCGTTCTGATGCAATAATGAAAAAAGCCTTTTGGGGATATGTAATGTTTCCTCAACATCTCACCTTCTATATTGTATATTTTGATGATTTTATAGTTGCAAACATGAGCACTGCAGAATATATCTTAAGCCTTAGAATAAAGTGTGAAATAGCTTATTTTATGTCAAACCTGTGGGAAAAACAATGGCCGATGTCCCAGTGGCAATATATTGTATATTAGGACATCTGGGAGAAACCCTATCACTGCAATCACCCCAGAGAGAGATTTACTCACTAAAATAATTTGGAAAAGGGGATTCAGTGTACTGTATTGGAGTATTATATTATTGCCAATTGCCAGCAGTTATAGCTCTTTTTAAAATATCCCAACCGGAAGAAGTATGGAGGTTTATTGATGTCAAAACTATCGAGCGAGCACAAGATAAATCCAATCTGTTATTGAGCTGCATGTTAAGATTAGAGAGCACTCAGATTTACAGGTGTAAAAAGTAAATACAAAACAGTACACTTGATAGATATCGTGCCACCACTGAGTGAATTTCTGGAGCTTCGCACTCTGAGGTTTGTCAGTCGGTCTCTACTGCTGAGAGCAGAGTCCAGCTGATTGGATCAACACTGTTAGACCCAACTAGCTAATGTCCGGCTCTTATCAGTGTTTGTTTTATTCGTCTAAAATACTTTAACAGTCTCTCTCACATTCGCAAATTTGACAAATTTGCGGATAGAGCTCAAACTTGAAGTGGCTTAATATTCAATGTTCAAGTTCTTTATTGTCATATGCAAAGCAATTACAGTGAAGCAGTCTTTGGCAATCAATTTAGTAGTTCTCAAACTTCCTCAAGTAATGTTCATACATAAAAAGAAAATAACAAATGAAAGACATACATTACTGTTGTTGGGATCTGACTATATGGCTTCGACATGTGCTGTGGAACAAAGAGAGTCAGGCCTTCCCTTTTGCAAGCAAAGGTTTCATCCTGATTGTAGTTTGAGCACCAAACCCCCAGCTCTGAAGAAATTCACACTAGGGTGTGAGTTTCCTCCCCCCAAAAACTATACATTCCTGAGGGTACCTGAAAGCACCGCTGCAATCTAATTGGCCGAGAGCCAAGACACCCCAGGACCCCTGTGGTTCAGCCACTGTTCTACAAAACTACCTGCAACCCCCACCTCAACGCTTTTCCATCGATCCCTCCGGGGTAGCAGGAGGCACACATGCAACGTTGTTCTTTTCAACCAAATCCTAGGTCTAACAGTTTATATTCGCTGGCCGAATTCACCAAACTGTCTATTTTATCTTTGTTCGTATCCACGAAGCGAACCCTTTCATTCCTGCAGAAGTGAAGAAGCAAGACTTCTTCAGACAGAGAGAGAGAACTTCCACTCTCCACCAAGCGCCTCGTTTGCTCCGGACATAAGGACGCGAAAATCCCTGATCCAGACGACAGCGATTCTCATTTGTGTTTATTTTATCTTGTTTGTGTGCTTAAAGTACTGTTCATTTTTATAACCTGGTGTATGCTTAATAATCGCCGACACTAACGGTCGCTGAGATCGTTGGGGTTGTGGAGAAGCTAGTGTATTTCATGCTACCGTGATCTGTGTTGAGCTAGCCGCAGTGAGGTCGAAGTTGCTTCTCGTCAGTTCAGGAGGTCAGAACCGCCGGCTGAGACAAAGAGTCGCGGTTCTTGCTCCCCTGGCTGAGAGAGCAATCTTCCGTACTCCCGCGCGGTGCAGAGGATCTTAATCTTTTGTTTTATTTCATTTTGTTGCTTTCCCTTCTCTTTTACTAACACACACACAGCTTTGAGCTAATCTAGCTACGTGCTAAACGGCTACAGGCACTAGATGCCGGGTCTCCTGTTGCCTATCCGCCATTTTGAGTCTCGCGCATGAGAGACGTCACCACGTCCCAACTACGTCATACGTCGCTGAGCTGTTCCCTCGCTCCTCCCCCTACGCCCCACACACACACACGCACGCACGCACGCACACTCTATGAGACTTAGTTTTATCGTTTGGTTATTGGTCCCTGTTCGCAGGGTGGGGCCCCGTTATTATTAATAATCATTAATTGTTACTGACATTAATAATTCTATTGATGTCAAGAATTTAGTTTCTTAGATGCTGATAACCCAAACACGCTCCTTTACGTTCCCAACATATTGCTGATAACCCCTTTTTGTCAGGCTATGTTATTCCCAACACTGTAAAGTCATAGACTAGAGGAGGGGTTAAAATAAAGGAATAAAATGTAAAACTTGTTAGACACGTGTACAGTAAGAATAAAATGTATAAATTGTAATGCATGTATTTTTGACGTTTATGAACTTCCATAATCTTGCATTTCTTAAAAATCCTGAGAAAATAAATGAAATGCAAACCACAGATTTGTCCAAATAAATGACAAACACACACAAGTAAATGTCACAATAATTATTTATTAAGCATACACATAATATAAATATAAAATATGCTATTTTTGTTTTTAAAATTGGTGAGACATCATTATATCTGTGTTGAGACAGACAACCATACAAACAGGTTTTAATATTCTACCAAAATCTGCTATGCAGCTGTAACAAACTTGCCATGATGGTGCCGTCCTAAAATCAGAGCCTGTATTCATGGAGCATATCAGAGAAGTGTAACTGATCTAGGATCAGGTTCCATGTAAATGTCACCATAAATGAGGACACAAGCCGGTCTTAGATCAGCGCTCCTAGTCTAAGATGCTGTATGCAGTGGGCCCACGTACAGAGAGAGAGAGCACAATAACCTACCGTATATATTTCTTTATATAGATACATTTCTTACTGTAGTCCAACAATGGCAATTAGCAGCATGAAAATCCGTTTTTTTTCCTAGTTCCAAGAAACTGCAAAAATAAGTCAGGAAGTAAAGAAATAAAAATAAACATCGAACAGACTGATGATCATCGTCACTGTACTAAGAGAGGAACTCGTCCACAGTGAAACAATCAGAGATAACCAAACAATCAAATTAGATCAGAGTGATGACATTTGACGGTCAGGATTCGGGTTCAATTCAGCTTCGCCTCAGTCAACAGCAGGAAGCGGATAACCGTGACACCTTCGCCTAATGGACGCCAGCGAGTTCTCAACGAGAAGCCATTCTCACAACCACGAGTTACAGCTTCAGTTGACCGAACCCGAAGTGAATTGATCCCCAAAAATAACCTCTCGATGACAAAGAACAAATAGTTTTTAACATTTTTTCTCTTTTTTTGTCTTCGTCTTTTTTAGTCTTTTTCGTTAAGTTTGGTTGACATGCTGAATCCTTGTGTTTGCAGGTTTGTGGTCAATCAGAAGGAGAAGTATTGAGCGAACCACTCCTGGCGCTGGGCGTCCGGGGAGTCGATGGCGGAGTCCTTCGTTTCAGGAGGGCTTCACGACGGGGAGCGCAAGAAGAATAAATCAAATCAGCACAACAAAAATTAAAAAAAATAAAGACAGGAAAAGAGAAGTCAGGGATGAAGCCAGAGGCTGATTCAGCATAGACGCTCACCACACTGAGTGGAAGCAGCAGTGTCAGATTCTCATTTACCATTAAACCTTTGTCATTTAAGACACAGCCCATTGTTTTACCATCACTGGCTACAGTCCTTTACTAGAACTCATCTCTTTCTGTGTTGAAAGTGTCATTTTCTTCACTGAATGCATGTGAATGAAACACAGGATTTAACTGCTTTGCTGTTTTGATTTAGCCTGGAACATACACACAAGCAGCACAACCGTCAGATAACACTGATCTGGAGGTTTAAAGGTGGTTTTAATGAAGGTGTAATCCACTGTTCTGTCCACAAGGGGGCAGCGAAGCCATTGTCAGGATCTATTGAGCCACAGCCAAGGAGAGAAACATCTGCTTTGTCCCAATTCTATACTACAAATTAATTGTAGACATGATGCACTTATATCACTTTTTATAGGAAACTGTTTTTAGTAATCAATAGCAAATTTATTTGTGATAATGTTGAGGTTTGGACTTGACAAACAGACATTATGAGGGTGTCACTTTGGGCTCTGGGTAGTTAAGGATTATTTACAAACCAAATAAAATAATAATCAGCAGATTAATCCATGATGAAAATAATCAATAGCTAATACTTCCACCTCAACCAATTACAACGGCAAGATCCTGCTCTATCATTAAAGCATTGAGTAACAATACTATAATTATACAATATATGATCGTATAACAGTCACAGCCAACTATTTATACTTTTCATACTCAAGGTACATTTTCTTGATTATAAGTAACATTTTAGACTTTTACTTATAACAGAGTAATTTCAGAGTGTGGTAGTAGTATTTTTACTTCAGCAAAGGATGTGAATACTTCCTCCACCACTGTTGGCACGCAATGGGCCTATCAGAGTATTTTAGCATGACAGAGAGACTCTGTGTGTGTACGTGTGATGCAGAATAAATGCACAACCACCAGACCTCTTTAACTATTTAAAGTATTTTGTTGTCAACCATTGCTGGTATCTGTACCACCAGATGAAGCTGTATCTGCTTCCTGACTCGCGTCTTCGGGGGGGGGGGGACCATGTTGTTCCCAAAAGTTCGAACTAATTAGTGTTAGCATCTGTCAAAACAAACACCTATTGGAGCTCTTTCTGCTTTCTTAATTGGCTTCTTGTTAAACAAACAGTCCCATAACCCCAGGGTAATATTTACATTTTGGGAGGGGGGGGGGTGTCATTTTTTTTTGTTGTTTTTTAAGCTTGAAACAGTCAGTTACTTCCCAAAAGGCCTGCCTTGTATTTGCGCAGCAGGATAAATCGTGTTTATACTGTGAATGGTCACAAGTCAGACTCAAAGGATTCCGTTTCAAGTCCATAAAATATTAATTGTAATATACACATTTGCATACAACATTCCCCATATTAAACACTATAAAGTAGCAATAGTGAAGCCTTCCTCCATGATTATATGTGATCAACTGTCTGCTGACATGTCTGTCTTTCAATGCCGCCAGCTTCACGTTGTCAGAGACAATAGGAAGTGGTCCTTATTGATCCGTGAGGGAAAGGTGGGTCATGTTCATTAAAAAAAATATTAAAGGTACAAACAAGTAAATAAAACGTCAAGAAAAATCACAAGAATATGAAGAAATAAATGTGATCACACATTAGGAAGAGCATGTATGTTTGTTATCTACTGTGTGTGGGCATTGAAGCTGTAACAAAAAATGAATATTCATCAATCAAATATGATTTTTAGATATCATTTTAGGTAGATGGGCAATGAGAAAAGAGAGAGGAGGGAGTGAATGAGATTGCAAGCAGGGATGTTGTGATGTTGAATTGGGTCACTCGGGGAAGGGAATGCAACGGGGAGGACGCGAGAAGAGATTGGCATGAGGATGAGGTGATGAATCAGTGAGGAAGAAGCAATAAGATGAGAGGGACGATTACTATCATCACAAATGTTTGGCACAACAGTCCCAATAGGATCAGTCCACGAAAAGAAATACTCGATGCTATTTTTGTATTATCTTGACCAATCCTCTACAAATAAACCCCATTTGTTGCCATATTATTTGCAATAACAATTCAGCATTAAATTCCAGCTGAAATAAAGTTTCTCTGCTGCGGCGCGTCAAACAGCGTGTGCGCAATCGTCACGTCAGTTGGTTAGATGTGGTCCTTTACTCTTTAATACCACTAACCTGTTGGCTAAGTTTGTCTCTCGGCCCGCTGCGGTGTCACACTGGCTGTCAGTCAAACACGGACACGCCCCTCCAGCTGGCTGACATTTAAAAACCTCAGATTTTTCTCCAAAGACCTTTTTTTTCTTGCTTTTAATAATAAGAACAAATATTAACACCGCATTTGAAAAACACGTTGACACTATGTTTGACTAAACGTGTTTCAGTTGGACTTTAAAG